CGGTGTTGTTATCATGATATATCACAGTGTCGGTGTTGTTATCATGATATATCACAGTGTCGGTGTTGTTATCATGATATATGACAGTGTCGTGTGTTTTTATCCTGATATATCACAGTGTCGGCGTTGTTATCACGATATGTCAGTGTCGGTGTGGTGATCATGATATATAAAAGTGTCGATGTTGTTATCGTGATATATCACAGTGTCGGTGTTGTTATCATGATATTTCACAGTGTCGGTGTTGTTATCATGATATATCACAGTGTCGGTGTTGTTATCACGATATATCACAGTGTCGGTGTTGTTATCGTGATATATCACAGTGTCGATGTGGTTATCATGATATATCAGTGTCGGTGTGGTGATCATGATATATCACAGTGTCTGTGTTGTTATCATGATATATCACAGTGTTGGTGTTGTTACCATGATATATCACAGTATCAGTGTGGTTATCATGATATATCAGTGTCGGTGTGGTTATTATGATATATCACATTGTCTGTGTTGTTATCATGATATTTCACAGTTTCGGTGTTGTTATCATGATATATCACAGTGTCGGTGTTTTTATCATGATATACGCGTTATCACAGTGTCGGTGTTGTTATCATGATATATCACAGTGTCGGTGTGGTTATCATGATATATCACAGTGTCGGTGTTTTAATCATGATATACGCGTTATCACAGTGTCGGTGTTGTTATCATGATATATCACAGTGTCGGTGTCGGGTTTTATGTCTGATGAGCTGGACGTGTCGGTGAGTTGATTTGTTAATACTGGAGTTCTGTGTCCTCATCACTATTACCATCAATACGGTAGCTGAGTATTGAGCAGCTATTTAAACGACCAGACAGTTTTCTACTCAAATAAATCCCAAGTTCAGGTGAGACATAACTAACAGGTATGACAGGGTAGCAGTGCCCTGCACCCGATAGTACACCGGCGGCACACATCATCAGCGCTAATAATAGATGTAGCGATAGACTTGATCCTTGTATGGTTTGAGAGTAGACGTGATCTTGATAGATCCAACAGTGGATATATGAGTCATACAGCAGTGACCTATATCACAGGCTGCCCCCATTTCCTACTTCGCAGGACAGAAAATACGTAGGTACGTGTGATGTTTTAGTTGCCAGGACGTTGTTACAGGGTGTATGTAACATGTATGTGACCACAGTACCATGGTAGTTGCAGAACTTACAGTCAAATGACCCGCGTTTCTAGTTTCTGGCTGATAGTTACCTAATGTAATCAAATGCATGTAGTTACAGGGTTGCCCGCTCGGATACAATGTGTGAAGCCCATTTCTGGTGTTCCCCGCCGTGATATTGCTGGAATATTCATAACAGAGGCGTAAAACCATATTCACTCACTCAAACACTTAAAGGGTCGTATAAAATAACGATATTGAAGTTAAAGTTTGTTTGTTGTTTAACGCCACACTCAATCATACGCCAGTTATGTGGCGGCCGTCTGTAAATAATCGAGTTTGGACCTAACAATCCAGTGACCAACATAATGACCTCTGATCTACATAATTTGGATATGTGTCAACCAAGTCAGCGACCATGACGTCACCTCTTACGTTGCTGAAGGCCACTTTCTCACCCAGATCTTCACGGGTTTCATAGACAGAGTGAATGTTTGAGTTACAGGATGGAGTTACATGGATGTTGTTACAGAGTTGCTGTTGCTGGCTAGCCTTTCAATATCACAATGATACAATGTGGAGTTATGGGGTAACAAAATAGTAGTTACAGCGTCCTAACAACATGGACGTAAAATACCCGGGTATTAGTTGCATGGCAGTGTTACACTGTTACATTACATTAGTAACACGGGTGTAGTTGCAGAGAGATAGATACAGGTAGATATTTCAGGGTAGACGTTACCTGGCAGTGGTTACACTGTTACATGACATTAGTAACACGGGTGTAGTTACAGAGAGATAGATACAGGTAGATATTTCAGGGTAGAAGTAACCTGGCAGTGGTTACACTGTTACATGACATTAGTAACACTAGTGTAGTTACAGAGAGATAGATACAGGTAGATATTTCAGGGTAGAAGTTATCTGGCAGTGGTTACACTGTTACATGACATTAGTAACACGGGTGTAGTTACAGAGCGATAGATACACGAAGATATTTCAGGGTAGAAGATATATGGTAGTGGTTACACTGTTACATTAGTAACACGGGTGTAGTTACAGAGAGATAGATACAGGTAGATATTTCAGGGTAGAAGTTACCTGGCAGTGGTTACACTGTTACATGACATTAGTAACACTAGCGTAGTTACAGAGAGATAGATACAGGTAGATATTTCAGGGTAGAAGACAATTGGCAGTAGTTACACTGTTACATGACATTAGTAACACGGGTGTAGTTACAGAGAGATAGATACAGGTAGATATTTCAGGGTAGAAGTTACATGGCAGTGGTTACACTGTTACATGACATCAGGAACACGGGTGTAGTTACAGAGCGATAGATACAGGTAGATATTTCAGGGTAGAAGTTACCTGGCAGTGGTTACACTGTTACATGACATCAGGAACACGGGTGAAGTTACAGAGCGATAGATACAGGTAAACATTTCAGGGTAGAAGTTACCTGGCAGTGGTTACACTCTTACATGACATTAGTAACACGGGTGTAGTTACAGAGCGATAGATACAGGTAAACATTTCAGGGTAGAAAGTTACCTGGCAGTGGTTACACTGTTGCATGGGATTAGTAACACAGGTGTTCTTACAGAGCGAGACATACAGGTAGATATTTCAGGGTAGAATATACATGGCAGTGGTTACACTGTTACATGACATATGTGACACGGGTGTATTTACAGAGCTGTAGGTACAGAGAAATAGTTCAGGGTAGAAGTTGACTAAAATACCAAACATTTCGCAGCCCAAAAATAACACGACCAGTACACTACACATTTTCCACCTTAAACTGTAGAGGTATGTCATATGTTCCAGTTCTAAAATGTTTAACACCTTTCATAACTCATCTTTACAAACAGTCCCCATTGAACTAGTGAGTGAATGTTGTTTTGGACGCCAACCAGCAGTTTTCCAACAACACCCTGGCAGCTCCTTCTATTTACACAGCGTTAGAAATGTAACCCCTGAAGTGGGACACTTGTGAAGAGCATCCTCATCGTGGTGAGTGCTGGGTAACGCTGATAGCTCTTCCCCTGCAAAACATTTGCCAATATTGAGGTAGCTGTGTCCGTGCACAGGACTCTCAATTCTTGCCGCGGTATCATACAAGAGAGGGCTCGTTGTCTCTATGACATGTCAGAAGATGATATTGCCGCGGGGCCTGTTGATCAAGGTGTCACGGTTGTAGTGAGTGAGTTTAGTTTTACGCCGCACTCAGCAATATTCCAGCTATATGGCGGTGGTCTGTAAATAATCGAGTCTGGACCAGACGATCCAGTGATGAACAGCATGAGCATCGACCTACGCAATTGGGGACCCATGACATGTGTCAACCAGGTCAGCGAGCACCCGATCCCGTTGTTACTGAAGGTTCATTCTAACCCGGACCTTCACGGTTGTAAAACGTTTCACCGTCAAGAAAGAAGGTATCATTACAAAAACCAACATCAGGATATTTTGACATCGGAGTGTCCAGTCCACTCCAGAATCTGGTCATGGATCAAACTTTTTTCATGGCTCTGCGATCTGTCATCGTTGTGGTGAGAGCCATGAAAACACAGAATGTGAAAAAGATTTTAAGTGTGCTAACTACCATGGTCCACATGGTGCATCTTCCAAATCCTGCCCTGTCTTGCAAAAGGAGTAAAAAATAATGAAACTAAAATGCAAGAAAAAACTATCCTACTTTGACGCTAAATAGTCACTAGCCACGATTATGTTTTTGTCAGCACCTTATGTTTACCTGTTGTGAAAATAGGGTTACAGCCTATTGACACAGGCTCCTCTTGCCAGGCAAATATTGTGGTCTTTGTCAGTGTACCATTACGTGGTGTTTGATTATACTGAGTGTTCTATATCTGTAGGTCTGTTTTCTTATTAATTACCGCAGAACTACAATTGTCTATTTTCTTTCATTAAAAGTAACTAGATACACGAAATGGATAAGTTTTGGATACTAAAAGCAATAACACTTGAAAATTGAAAAGTAGCGATGGGCTAGTCTTCTGGTTAAAGTGTTCGCTCGTCACGTCAAAGATCCTGGTTCGATTCTCGCATGGGTACACAGTGTGAATCCCTTTTCTGGTGTCCCCCTCTGTGATATTGCTGAAAACGGCGTAAAACCATACTCACTCACTGAACATCGATCGAGATGAACAAACCGTGGAAACACAAGTAAAAAACATGTTGACATGTATGCATATTAGTCCTTCTTTGCGGTTTGAATCCAATGCCAATGGGACCATTATGTTAGCTGTATGAGACAAGATGTTTGTGGACTTACAACACTTCGGTGAAATCCCCGAGCGCTGCTATGCTCTTGATCCTACCACTTCAAAGATCACAGCACAACCAGTCCCAGTTTGAACTAACCCACACGAATACCCGACTCGCCCGATACCTGTAGGTGATATGTTATTTCATTTTCCATAAGACTGTCTGTGTCACCTTGACCTGGTGAACAATATCACATGCCCGGGATATCAGCACAAATGTAGGTCATTGAAATACGTGCCCCTGAAGGTTATCATTCAGGTCAGTAAACAGAACGTTTCGCAAGAAGACGAGCTATTTTTCATAATACCCACTTTCTATATAGAGACACATCAACGCACGCTCTGTCAGTGTGTCCACGGGTACGTCAACACCGAGGTAGGTATTTAGTCGTATATGGAGCTCATCCAATGTGACTCGACAAGCCATCAAAGGTTCGTTCAGTTTTAGCGACTACAGTATCCTGGGAACGTTGTCACAAAAGCTCTATGTTGAATATTACCCAGGACTCCAACACCAGACAATAATCTTAATGCAAGGACCCAGACTGAAGTAGGTTAGACGTACAGTGGAGGCTCGATACCGGATATACCATAAGTCACACAGACACAGCTCAGGTCTCCTTGTTTCAGTGTACCCTGATCGACACTGTCGTGCACACACTATTGTCTGAAGACGGTGTGTTGATCACAAAGTGTAGACTGGTATGTTTACAATTCTACAGTCGTATCAGTCAGTTCCGAGTAATTTTGGCTGCTGTGTCTCATGATACTGAGATGCTGAGACTTCCTTCTGTTCCAGGACAATCTAAAGAAGGACGATGTTATAGTGTTTATATATATGTCACCGAGACATGGGTGTATTTTGTACACTGAGTGAATGAGTTCAGTTGTACGCCGCACTCAGCAATATTCCAGCAAAATGGCGGCGGTCTGTAAAAAATCGAATATGGACCTCACAATCCAGTGATCAACAGCATGAGCATCCATCTACGCAATTGGGATACGATGTCGATCAAGTCAGCGAGCCAGACAACCCGATCCCGTTAGTCGTCTCTTACGACAAGCATGGGTTACTGAAGATCAATTCTAACCCGGATCTTCACGGGTTCTTTTTGTACTGCAACTTTATATGACTAAGTCATGTGCATTGTTTCAGATTCAAGCACAGCAAAAGAGACTTCTAAGCAAGGACAATGTTTGAGTGTTTAACTCAGTGGTGGCCCCAGTCTGTGGTAACCCAGGCTCTTGTTGTTGGGATAGTGGTTGGAGTGATCGCCTATAATCTCTTCAAGAAACGATACAACCTACCGCCAGGACCAAAGGGATGGCCGTTAGTTGGAAACCTTTTGGGTGAGTGACTTTAATATATTTTCAATGTGAATCTAACAACGATATTTCTACTTATCGAATGAATGGATTCAATCATATATTATTTCTCGAATTGCATTGAACGTTAAAGTCTGTGCTGTCAGAACTTCATATTATCTTTATACATGTAATTTGTGACTTGTTATCAGATTCTAATATGATCATTTCAACCCAGCTTTATCTTTTTTACACGTGCTGTTGTACAAGAACACGTGTTAATTCACATGTACTTAAGGGGCATGGGGGTAGCTTAGTAGTTAAAGCTTTTGCTTGTCACGCTGAAGACCCGGGTTCGATTCCCCACATGGGTACAATGTGTGGAACCCATTTGTGATGTCTCCCGCTGTGATATTGCTGGAATATTGCTGAAAGCGGCGTAAAACAGACTCACTCACTCACATGTACAAAAAATGTACGTCACACGTCTGTGGTGCAAAGATGACACGTATTCATATACGCACATGAGCATTAATTAAGTTCCGCCTGTGTCAGTGTTTAACATTTTAGTCCCAAAAGGCGATTATGCCTTAGTGTATTGGAGTGCACACGTAAAACACGTGTTTCACTCAATGTTCATGTTGGGGTTTAAATTTCATTATCGCAGTGTGCGCACTATTGAAAAGATGGCAGTACTATAACTATTGTCGGCATGGTAAAACTTTCGGAAAATACATGATGGCAAGACATTGTAATGTTTGACGGAGAGACGTCTTGTTGCAACATCGGTAAATATTTTTATTTCTAACATGCTTCGCTACAAGGTCAAAGACTCCGACAGTACTTTATCCGGAGATAAAGTACACCTTTTGCATTACGTCACACTGAAATGACGTCAGTACGCCATTCTAGTCTGCCCCTCGTCATCAAACGGGTTTGGTACCAATGTGCCTACAGTTCATTCTGCCCAATTTGGGCATACAGTCTAATGTGGGTATAATTACAACTGTAGGCAGATTGGGAATTGAAAAACACCCCATAGAATATAATGAATTGACCCAATGTACCCTTGCTAAACGACGTCACGCTTGCCGTAAGTTGTCATTGTGTAGTGCAGTCTCCTAAAGTGCAATTAACTCGGTTACCTCTCCGTTGTATGGTATATAGTTGCTCCAGGCGGCTAACATCACCCGAGGAAACATTACAGTTAACTTTTTACACGGAAACATTGCCTCAGCTTCACCAAGATTTAACCCTAAAGCTACAGTCTTGTAATTCTTAAATGTAAATACAACCATGTACATACAATACATACAAAAATCAAGTACAAGCAAGACAGGACTGATATGTAACCTAACCATGTGAGTACAAGCATAAAACTACCACGCTGATACTACAAGCCTGTAATTCTTAAACGTAAATACAACCTTGTAAATACAACCATATATGTACAAGTATGTTTGACAACATGTTGCTTGAAACATGTCAGTCCAAGCATACGACTACAGTCATGGCTACAACTATGTAACTTTCTAAGATGCCTAGCGGTTAGAACAATCGAAAAACAAATACATTATCAGACATTGTAAACCAAAAGTCACTGTGTTCTTTAATCTGATTGGTTGAAAAAACGTGATCAAATGGTATTTGATTCCCGGAAATTCTCTACGTATTAATACATACAAACATTGCTCACACCATTGTATTGTTACGTCGTCAGCTGTGGTGACGTCATTCAAATAATATTGTGACGTAAAGTCCGAATGACGTCACAAATCAGCAGTTCCAGATGCTACCATGGGAGACATTTCACTGCTGTACCCGTACTCGATGTCAATGAGTGCAGACACAAAAAACGTGTGTGGACCTTTGGGTTTACTTTTGGGTTTACAATGTCGATAAACATCATGTGTTGGCGAATTTCCGGGGTGTTAATGAGTATTTGAAGCACGGGAATATTTCATTTGAAACCTCCGGCTAACGCCGTCGGTTCAAAATAAATTCCCGTGCTTCAAATACTCAATAAGACCCGGAAATTGGCCAACACATGATGTTTATCTCCTAAATAAAGGCATATTATTTTATGACGTAACAATTGAATGACGTCATCCTGTCACTGCACCATTCTAGCGTGCCCCCCTCGTAATCAAACCATTTTACATTACGGCACAATGTAAGCGACGTCACGATGCATGTCAGTTGTCATCGCCTCGTACGGCCTCCTACAGTAAATTATTCCGTTGCATCCCGTTTCTTGGTTTGCAGTTGCTTCATGCAGCTAACATCACTGGTGGATTCACTACGTTTATGTTTTACGACGGTTAAAATGTCGCTTGACTACTCAGCTTCATCTGGATGTACTGATCTAAACTTACGTTGGTAGTAGAAATGCGACGTTCATATTGCCCCATATGGTTTACGTTCATGACAGATGTAATTAAAATAATTCAGAGAAGATATATAATCCGAACGTAAACCGTCATCAAACTGTTATCATTTGTTTTTCTGGTAACGTTCGTCTTAACGTAGGGGGGCAGACACATCAATAGAACAGCGCGCGTCCTCGTACTTTAACTATAATAGTTCAGGGCGAAAGTGTGCTTTATTACACTATACATGGTGGTAGAGCGAACTGTATTTCTTAAACAACCATGTAACTAGAAACAGGTAAATACTACAATCTAAATACTAAACAATGTAACTCTAACCCTGTAGTAACTACAATCTATGTGAGTGAGTAAGTGAATTTAGTTTTATGCCGCTTTTGGAAATATTTCACCGCCCCACAATCTAAGTACAGTTCCACAGGGGGTAAGCACTGCCCATGCCCAACCAAAGGTTGGTCATCATCAACTACCATTTCCCCGATAGACAGTCTATCCCGGTAGAGAGTCATAGATGGCCCAGGTATCTATATGAAATGAAGTTCTTGCTAAGCTTTCAGAATATTTCAGTGGTATTGCTTTAAAGGTTTGCGTAGATGGAAAAAGAGAAACATTGGACCAAATATGTCGTTCAATACACAGCTGCATGCTTCAAACCAAGGTCCTACCTCAGTTGATAAAGAACAGGAAACCATCTACCCGTACAGTACCTTTTCAACAACCCGTACAGTTGATTTGTTTACATGAGCAACTACCATCGATGCGTACAGCTATTGGTTTCGTTAATATCTCAGTTTGTATGTTTTGACAGAAGCTAAAATCTTGACACAGCGGCTACATAACCTCATTTAGCCTAAAAATGCACAATACGTGAAATGAATTCAATTGATTATGATTCAATTGACGTCGAAAGTGGTCGATTTCTCGGCTTTTCTGATTCGCGCCAAAAGACGTGTCAAGAAATGCTTCAAATGTAAATAAAATATAACGTGTCATGACCAAATGATATAGGGGTTATAATCCATGGCCAATGAGCTTATGAGACAAGTCGATTTCATAACATTTACTGTTTGGGAATATAAAAATCTTACAAAGTTTGGGACTCACTCTCTACCGAGATCGACTGTCTATCGGGCAAATGGTAGTTGATAACGACTAACTTCCGGTTGAGATGGACAGGGATTACCCCACGTGAGTTCTGTAACTACATTTATGTTACAACATGTATCTGACTGCAACCAATGTAACTACATCCGTGTATGTGCAATCACGTGACGACAACTATGTATATATATTATGTAAATACGACCATGTAATTAAGCATGTAAGAAGAGCCATGTAAGTAAAACCACATCAAGATGATGCTTTTTATCTCCAGAGGTGCGAGGGACTCTCCTGTTCCGAAAACTCCGCGACTGGAGCAAAACATACGGTCCAGTTATGACGATTCAGCTGGGTAAGATTACCTGCTTCACGATGGTACAACAATGTATCAGGTAGAAATGTGGAGTGCATCATCAAATTTATTGCATCGGTTACAAACATTATATCTGTTACAGTTAAAGTTTTTGCACGTACCATGGTACTCCGGTACCATAACTATTTAATAGTGATCTTTGAATGCATCCTTAGTTTTTGTGAAGACTTGGTACTATCACCCTTTGACAATGATCTTTTAATTCCTTATGTCTAAATGGATCCTGCGTTTGGAAAAAGGGTTTTGTTGCCTTTGTATCCATGTTAAATAATGAAGGCTGTCATGAGGATCCTGGACACTGGTGACCATGTATATTTCAACTACTTATGTAGGACGTATACAGCATACAGTCGAATACTGAGAACGTCGTGGTCTTCCATGACGGTCAATCGTGAATTGTGCAGAGATTCTCACTAATACCGCACCAGTAACTCTGTACCCCAAGGAGAATAATTATGTTACGTTTTGTTTGTTTATTGTTTTACGCCACACTCAGCAATATTCCAGCTGTATGGCGACATCAATGAATGGCGACAATCCAGTGATCAACAGCATGAGCATTGAGCTACACAATTGGGATACGATGACATGTGCCAACCAAGTCAGCAAGCCTGACCACCCAATCCTGTTAGTCGCCTGTTAGACAAATATGGGTTGCTGAAGACCAATTATAATCAGGATCTTCACGGGTCTTATATGCAACCTATTCGCTGATAAGAAGATATTCGTATTCACAATAACAGAAATGAACATAATGATTTTCAGGTACTCTCAAAGCAGTTATTCTGAGTCGAATAGATGTTGTAACGGAAGCTCTCATTACAAGACAAGCAGACTTCGCAGGAAGGCCGAATACATATCTTGGTAAGACATCATTCACCACATACATACTATAAAAAACCTATAATTCTACATTTGGGCAAATCGCCGAAAGTCTCTCTGTAGGTCCGAATATCAGTCGTTTTAAGATATCTTCATGTTAATTGTTTCCTTGCTTCCATTGCTTTCTCCACACACATACTTCCAACCAGACCATATAGTGTTTTATTGGGATTATAATATTACGCTTTAATATTGAGATATTTGAGTGGTCAGTGGACTACATTTCAAAACGGGCACTGAAATTGTGGAGAGTGCCTCTGTAAGACCGAATTAATTATCATTATTCAGTTTTCTTCATGCCAATTGTTTCCTTGCTTTCATTGTCTCGGAACACGACCCCTCATAAAACAATTATGGTTGTGCATATAGGGGTGTGGGGTTGTGGTGGTGCGGGTGGATGCATGGATGGATATGGTCATTTAACACTCTTTATTTATCCCCAGTATCTCAATTAACCAAGGGAGGAAAAGACATAGTCAACGCATCGTACGGCCCAACTTGGAAGTTGCACCGGAAAATTGCATCCAAAGCGCTCAGGTAAATTTTCACTTTTTATGCAAAGATGGCATGGGTTATACTTAGTTGCCAAATATGATAGTTTTCTTCAAACAGTGAATTCCAATTAATATTTAACTACGTTTTGACGTTACACAACCCCTGAAATCATATATTCTCAAATGTTTAAAATTTGAGGGGCATTAACACATGACCCAACTATTCAGTGAAATTACATGGATTTGGATGGAGCTTGAATCATTGATTAGAGAATGGGAATCGTTATGCCCAAAGTGTGTTAATGTGTGATACAAGGTTAGTCAAAATGCAATTTGATATATTTTCATATATATGTGTATCAGGCACTATCTCATGGGAGATAACCTCAGCTTGAAAGTGTCCCAATCACTCCACATCACTACAGCGTTGATGAGAAAGGAACAAGGAGCCTTTGATCCTTTCCCCTACCTGTCACTCTCGATCTCCAACATGATGACAGGAATGTTGTTCAATAAAATCAGGTAATTATATCTTTGCTTTTTTTTTTGTTGTTTATAGATATGATTTTAACACAGAATGTATTATTGTTCTTAGAGTCTCAGATATCTGAACTTTAAGTTAAAACACCTCACGCAATTTAATCTTCAATTGTTTCTCAAAAACACTGGATAACTTGTGTATTGAATATGTATTTGTTTGTGTGTGTGTGGTTTACGGAACAAATTTCATCAATGAGATATTTTTGTGTACGATCTTGTTAACCGAGCCTCATCTTATTAAGTTTGATTTCTTCTTTTGTTTGTGTGTTCGTTTGTTGTGTAACGCCGCAATGAGCACAATCCCAGCTGTTTGATTGCGGTGTGTATGTGTTCGTGTCCGGTGATCAACATCATGAGCATCGATCTACATAATTGGGATACGATGACATTTTTGAACTCAGCGAGCGTACCCACTCGAACACGTTAGTCGCCTCTTACGACAAGCATGGGCTGCTGAAGATATTTTATTCAGTAATGTTAAACAGAGGCAGAGTTCAGAGATACGAGTATGAACGACTTTAGGGTTTTGACGTCTTGACGCGTATGTTGTAGTCTCCCATGTACCTTCTAATGTACGTGTCAGAAATGCGTTATTATGTATAAAAGTCACAGATTACGCTCAAGGCTTTTTCCTGGTTGTCAGAACCATCAAGGGTTTCACCAAATGGAAACTGTGTAAAACCGGAACCGCATTACTCTGTCAACCGTCAAAGCTGAGTTAAACCAAACTCATCTGAATGTTTCTTTAATTCTAGTGAAAATGTAGACTCTGAATACTATAAAGCGTACGTCGTCACCCTGGACGATTTAATGAAAGAAGCTGGAGAAGGATTTCTGGAAGATTCAATTCCCCCGCTTCGTCTGTGCCCAACGCCTAGATTCAGACGTGTTACTCGAGCCTCCGATAAAATATTAGATTCCATCAAGAAAGAAATTGCAGCCCACAGAAAAACGTTCAACAAAGGTAAGCATCATCTAAGAGTTGAAGTTACTGTAATTTGTTGTCTACTATTGAAAACAGGAATAAACTAGACGTATATGCCGAATTAGGTTTGTGACCAAAAAGCTGAAAAGGTAACACTTGTCAATATATACTTAAAAAAGAAACTTCACGTGCAACTTTATCCCAAACATACCCTTATAGAACAATGTGTTGCTAGTGGATACATCTTTTATAGATGTAATGAGGGTACTCTAAAATAGGATTAGGCATTTGGGTGCGCTTGGTGCACCATCCACAGTCAACAGTAGCACGACTGGAACGCACGATGGGAATCATTTTTTGATTTCACAGGGACTAGCCGTCTGTATTGGAGCACGTTCAGTACCGCGTATGTCCCTGGTCGCCCTCACAACAGCATGGCAACGGGAGGTGTTTATCTCTCAAAGACTGTTAACATGTTTTTCCTTATCACCTCATTTCTGGGTCAGAAGCAGTTGAAATAGGCGGATGCGTCAGGTTTGACCTGGCCATTATGTTATTCTCCCATATTAACTACTACCCATTTTCAATATAAATCATTTCTTTTTGGTTCAGTACACAGGGGCGTGTCACGCTTAGAAACAGCGTTAGAGAGACATATAGGTATATAGACCCTACCCTAGTACTATATAAAAGGAAAGGGATGTAACGACGGAACCACCCCCTCCTCAATCTAAGTTAGATTTCACCACGTAAACTATTTACCCGCCGAGGCCTACGGATCAAAAGCGAGGTGATTTCCTACAAAATGAGCTATAAATGGTCACAATCGGATCATTATTTCAAAAGTTATACGCCACGACTCACCGAAAACAGCTACCTCCGCAATTCCAAGCCAAAATCATGGATCACCCAAGACAGCGAAAACTCACCTATTAAATTCGTTTATTAATTCCAGCCACGTTGACAGCACCTATGTAGGGCTAGATTCGATCGGCAGCGCCATTCTTCGGGTCTAAAAACTTATTGCAACATCTACAAATCATTTCCTCGACAGTAAGCAGACATTTTCTCCAAAACCATCGGCAATCATACTCACTTGTCGGCCATAGATGGCCTTGACATTCAAGTGATCTGAGCAGATCCGCAGAAACGAAATTGGGCCATCCGATTGGTGGAAAATATAGTATGCTGTTAGATTTTGACTGTTTGCTAATGGCGCGAAATATGAACTTTGCAATAATCCTTTATTTTGGATGATGTACGGAACAGTAAATTGTTAAGAATAGTTTTAGAGGTTGTAAAAATGCTTTCGATATTGATTCATTTTTAGGAAATTATATTTATAAATATTTAACCTCTAAAATTATCCTTACAAATTTACTGCTCAGGTCACTTAAACGTCAAGGCCATCTATGGCCGACAAGTGAGTATGATTGCCGATGGTTTTGGAGAAAATGTCTGCTTACTGTCGAGGAAATAATTTGTAGATGTTGCAATAAGTTTTTAGACCCGAAGAATGGCGCTGCCGATCGAATCTAGCCCTACATAGGTGCTGTCAACGTGGCTGGAATTAATAAACGAATTTAATAGGTGAGTTTTCGCTGTCTTGGGTGATCCATGATTTTGGCTTGGAATTGCGGAGGTAGCTGTTTTCGGTGAGTCGTGGCGTATAACTTTTGAAATAATGATCCGATTGTGACCATTTATAGCTCATTTTGTAGGAAAATCACCTCGCTTTTGATCCGTAGGCCTCGGCGGGGACTTAAAAATAGTTTACGTGGTGAAATCTAACTTAGATTGAGGAGGGGGTGGTTCCGTCGTTACATCCCTTTCCTTTTATATAGTACTAGGGTAGGGTCTATATACCTATATGTCTCTCTAACGCTGTTTCTAAGCGTGACACGCCCCTGTGGTTCAGTATATCTTTGTGTCTTGCCTGAACCATACTGAGTAATAATTTGGTGGAAAGGAAAATGTACGTTTTTCTAGTATTTTATTAATTTAGATAAAGAAGGAAAAAATATGAAAACATTCCAAAAATGCTACATTATAGTTGATACTCTCCATAATAAATGAATATGACGAGTAAGCTTCAAGAAGGCAGCGATAACTTGCGCTACTTCAAGAATGCCATGAAGACTTTCTGTAAATGTCACCATCACTGCCCTTAAACACCTATGTGTATTCTGCTTGTCGGGATCCTCCATAAGTAAAAAGAATACACTTTAGATCTGTAATCTGAAGGTTTAGTTTGACTGTGGCGTGATGGTTTCCTAGGACAGTTCATTTACTCGACTACAGACAGGGTTACAGACTGATCGATTGCTGAATCCTTTACAGATGAGATACAGGACTTCACAGATGCGTTGATACAGGCTCAGCAAGAAGCGGAGGAAGTGGACGATCCTGTCCTAATGTCACAGATTACAAACATACATATGGCCATGACAATCTTTGACTTAGTACTCGGTGAGTCATCTAGTTTATGCAAGACGTTCCACACGTTTCATCACAAAGAAAAGTACCGTGAAGATCCCGGTTAGAATTGGTCTTCAGCAGCCAATGCTTGTCGTAAGATGCAATAGGGGGGTCAGGCTCGCTGACTTGGTTGAAACATGTCATCTTATCGAAATTGCGTAGATCGATCACTGGATTGTCTGGTCCAGGCTCGATTATTTACAAACCGCCGCCATATAGCTGGAATATTGCTGAGTGCGGGTTTTAACAACAAACCAACCAACAACAAACAACATTATTCCGTAATGTTTCCACAACAGTTATGCTACACAACTATAAACATTATGATAATATGCCAAGGAAAACTGTTACTGACTGAGAACGGTTAGTGCTAGACAATATAGTGAAACACCATGTGGACATATATGTTTGTACCTTTCCGATCTCATTCCCTATCTCTCTTCCCGCTCAAAAGAAGTTGAATAACATCTTTTCACGTGCTGCTGTCCAAACTGAAACAAGAAAGTAACCCAGAAATCCACGTGCTAAAGAATTCATGAGCTAAAGAATTGAGCATGAAATAACGAAAAACAAACAGTGTTAACAATTACGGGTGTGTTCTGGTTTACAAATCAATATTATTTATGGGAATGAAATTACTATTGAGCACTCAATAGAGTGGAGGTACAAAATTCAGTGCCGGTGGAAAATGAAATAGCTGTGGTCATAGCAGGTAATGGTATTGACCTAGCAGCAGCAGGATTCAAGCTTCTTAAAAGGCATAGGATGGCTAGCTAGATTGTAAACAGATGGATTTCATAACATCGTCCGTCTAGGTGTGATGTGAGATAAGTGTGGCATACGCTTGCCCACTTATGTAGTTTATTTTACCTTCCACAAACTTCTATACTATGTTCGATAGGTCTTGAAGATTGCAGATTACCCTTGACTGCTGAAGCATCTGGAAAGAGTAACTTCTGCGTCAATGATTACCTTTGATAGTAATACATTCCTGATAACTAACAATTTTCAGAAGACAATGTTATGAATCGCTCATGAACCTTAAAAGAACATTGCATTCTCTAAAAAGGAATTTCACTGCCATATTACAACCCTCAATTAAAATAGTATGTTCGATGACTAAAGGTTATTGGTCATGGCCATGAGTCGGGCCTTTATAGTTGTCAAGAAGTTTATACTTAATTAACAGCTGGACTTCTCTTGAGAAGCATAGTTGTCAAGAAATTTATACATAATTAACAGCCGGAACAGACACCTCTCACGAAATACTAGGATGTCTCGTTGTGATAGATGGGGACGACACCCATCAGGTGCATATCCTAACAGGAGCAAGATAGAAAGCCATAAAAATCTTTGTAGTCTTTTACTGCTACTGAGATGTTGCACTAAGATTGTTCACTATGTTGACATTGCTTGTCTTGAATCACCATTTTGAAAACAATGAGTGAATCACAACTCTCACCGTTGCTTTAAAGGACACGTATCGCTCCTCTTTGAATTCATGGTATCATACATATATGTCATGTAACATTTCAGCTGGCACAGAAACCTCGAGGAACACGCTTCATTGGTGTCTCCTGACGATGGCTCTCCACCCTGACATCCAGAAGAAGGTGCACCAGGAGGTGGACTCCGTTATTGGTGCGTTGTAAGAAAGGCTGTTGCAATATTTAAACAATAACCTATAGCGGTCTTTAATGGCATTTATACGATCAAGAACTTGCAGAAACTGCAAACACAAACTGACAGGGATACCAAGCCAACACAAAACACAAACGCTTACAAAGCTGACTTTGAAAACATGTAGCATTAAAGAAACTGCAAGTGTGTATTTGGACGTGAATATAAAATGTGACCGCTTCGGTTTGGACGTTAAGAGTAAAGCGGTAGACCAGTGACGATGTGGTATAATGAATGGTAGTGGGCAGTAGTAAACACACAGTGTGAAATGTGCATCGATAGGTTTCTCCAAATTGCGAGGGGGTTGATGAAGGAAGTTGCAAGTGTATTGGTAGGTACACCCAGGGAAGCATTTCATCATCTAAGCTTCCTCTGAACCTCACCGACAAAGAATGGATAACACACATCAGGCTGACCATCTGATCTTTTCCCTACTTGATTCAGAAGATACCATCCACCTGAAGAAAGGGCAAGAACTATCCCAGAAATCAAGAAGTTGTCATCCATAAGATTTGTCTTGTATTACCATTATCCTGTATGTGAGTGAGTGAGTTTAGTTTTACGGTGCTTTTAGCAATATTCCAGCAATATCACGGCGGGCGACACCAGAAATGGACTTAACACATTGTGCCCATGTGGGGAATCGAACCCGGGTTTTCGGCGTGACGAGCTTACGCCCTAACCACTAGGCTACCCCACCGCCCCTATCCTGTATGTCCTTACATCATACACATGTGGTCCCATCGAGCCTCTTTTAAATGAATATGTTTGCATTTACTATGGCAAAGTATCATTTTTAGAACGGAATATTGCAAATAGCGGCGTAAACCCCACCTCCCACACGGTTTCTGTGAACATAGGATGCATAATGTTGTGTGATACCTGCCCAAGTAAAGCTGCGTAAGACCTTCTTGCAATGTGGTTAACTCATGACCTTGTCCATGGCTCCCTGACAGTGATATGTGCTGTGGTTGCAGGTCCTGATCTGAACGTGCACGTTTCGGACAGGGAGAACTTGCCATACACCGATGCAGTGATACATGAGGTCATGAGGTTGAGGCCAGTCGTTCCCATTGGCGTTGCTCACTCCACGCTGTGCGATACCACAGTTGGTAGGTATTACAGTTCGTTTCTCAAACGTGTGGAGGGTAGATAATAGTGTTTGATGAAGTCTAGGTTTCCTGCAACAATGGTCTTGTCACGTGGACATTACACGTGCCTGTCGTCGAGTTGTTGTCTCTGGTAGTCATGGCAGTGTGATACCTTTGATTGTTATGGTGATTATGGATATAACAATGATGACAATAGAAATCAGACGCTTGATTAAAACAAAGACAAGCGTCGAAGAAAAGTTATTTCCTTAAGTCTGCGATGTTTGTTATTGGAAGAAAAGGTAAATGTAAACGATGTTGTGTTGAAGTGCATTAGTTCGGTACTAAATATTGTGTATTTCGTAAATAAATTAATATATATTTTTATTTTTTGCATATCTGCTCTTCCGTCAAGGTTACATGTTTTACCTCACTATGGATGCCGAGTATGATGCTTCAGTATATGCTTCGATGATGATGATGTTAAATAGTTTTAATATCAAATGTGATTACGAATTGGTTTATGTCAGTTAAGATGTCTTTATCAAACCATTAGAAATTGGGATAGATGAATGTATTTCTTAAGATATTGATGATAATTTTCAGGTGGATACGATGTTCCCAAGGGAACAATGGTGATTATCAACCACGACGCCTTGCACTTTGACCCTGACCAATGGGAGGACGTCAATACGTTCAAACCTGAACGATTCCTTGACTCAGATGGAAAGATGGGTCCCAAGCCAGATAGCTGGCTTCCGTTCTCTGCCGGAAGGAGAGTTTGTCTCGGGGAGACAGTTGCAAAACCCGAGCTTCACCTCTTTCTTGCTGGAATACTGAGGGTTTTCACCATATCACTTGCCCCGGGGACACAGCACGACTTTGAGCCACAGAGTAAGGGGGCTCGGAATACTCCTGGGAGATACAAAATTGTCATGAAATCGCGAATTTAAGTTAGTGTTTTGTGTTCCATTTCGTGCAGAGTTTCAGTTTCATAGTTGGACAAACGACAGCAATATAATCACCAAGTGACCAATGCTGAGTTATTTACAGCTACACTGAGACATTGAGGGTATAATACTGACACGTTTAGCTTCACTTAGTCAGTTAGGGCAGCTGCTGACCCAAGGATAAATTTTGAAGCCAATCTGTGATTTCATATTCTTCAAGGTGGAATTATAGCCAACTTGTTAAGGCTGGACCAGTCGATGATGGGGTTTGAGGTATACATACTATATCGACAATTATATACTTGAAACCGCTCCTCAGCTAGTGCACACAAAATGGCGTTCATGCTGCTTCTTTTTGTTCAGTCTATGTGTGTCATATAGTTTTAATGTGATCGTTTCTTAAAATCTGATCTTTAATAAATACAATCATCCAAAGTGACAAACTGAACACCTTTTGCACCGACCATTTGATATTCTGTGTGCGCGATTACTTCTTTCAAATAAGAAAAATGTCTTGTTTCCAAATATACAAGATCGGCCATTTCAGCAAAAGCTTCGCAGGTGTGTTCAAATAGGTCTTGTATGTTCTGCTCGTTTTTTAGAATAATGTGCATTTAGAAGCAGTTTCCATCCACTGACTTTGAAATTAAGGAGACAAGTGAGACTGTGTTTCATATCTACTTCTGTGCATAAAGATTAAAAAACTCTCAAGGTGATGTGATAAGAGGGATGACTTCACAGCTATTTTGCCCTTTACACCAAACGGAATATGTTTCTGAGGATAACTGAGACTGTATATGCTTTAGCACACGCGTTATATTTAACAGGCTTCTCAAATATATTGTAGCAGCACAATGCACCAAGTCAATCAATTGTAAAAATAATTCTTTATGCTTTATAGATGCTTCTTAACCATATTTTGTATATCACTTGATTGATGACGAAACATCACTTTTGATTGCAATAAAGGAGTTGTTCATCCACATATCTTATCTTTAATCTGAAGTGTCCTCATGTCAACTGACGTAATCCTGTGTAGTGAATATTGTTCCGACGTTTGGTAAAGGAACAAAACTAATTAAGTCCAATCATCATGGCGTGACTCGATGAACACTGCATGAAAGTACAGCGAGGTACATGGTGCAAACATTTTTTTTTTAAAAGCAACTGTTTGGTAAATCCTTATGTGTTTCCTTGTCACCACTGTCAATCCCAACATATGTTTTATAAGACACATTGTTTGGCAATCGGCTTCAATGTAAAGAATATTGTGCAAAAGCAAAGGAGTATATATAACTGGAGTATTGCTGAATGCGGTGTTAAACAACCAACAAACTACTCGGATACCCTCAACATCACGTACACGAGAAGATCCGGGTTAGAATTGATCTCCTGTAACCAATGCTTGTCCTAAGAGGCGACTTGCGAGATCGGGTGGTCAGGCTTGCTGACTTGGTTGAGACATGTACCAATTACGAAGAACAATGCTCATGCTGTTGAGTACTAGATCTTCTGGTCCTGACCCGATTATTTACTGACCACCGCCATATAGCTGGATCAACAGACATAGAAAGGAATAATGCCCCAGCAAGTTTAGTACAATGTACCCTGGATTGTCTACAGGAACGATGCATTATGGTAAATTGTTTGAACATTAACTAAAAGTATAAACTCGGTTTACCTGAACAATAATATACAAACATATGGGAGAATAATAATTCCTAGACAGTAGACATGTAATTGATATAATAATCATCATGATGCATTTTGCAGGGCCTCCCCAAACAATTGCATATCTTCTAGCTTTTGTTTCCTAAAATGTCCAAATAAGCATTGCTTCTCCAAAAAAACCAAGATCCTGAATTACCTCGCCAGGTAAACCTACATCAAAGGCCCAACAAGCGCCACCTCGTCTATAAGAGTGTCCAGTAAGGCGAACAGAGATACTATTTTGCTGCTAGATGTAAACATCTAAGAACTTGTGATAGGTTAACACTTGACAGTTATTGTCACACAACAGGGGGGTGACATGTCATGATGGGTATGAAATTTAAGAACATTGAGAGGATGGTCCCTAATGGCCGGCAAGTAAACATAAACAATCTTTTCCCTGAACTGGAGAGTTTTTGTCCAATTTAAAGCAATAGGGTAGGAACTACCATACTGTTCAATCTGACCCATGGTCAGAACCCTTGACAAATTCTGGCCTTGTATAGCTAAGAAATTCCCTGTTCTAAGCATGCCAAAAATACAATAAGACATCCTGCCCTAGTAGACTCTGCCCAAGCGTGAGATTTAAGCCGTTGTACACCCTCTTTCAACTGCCTGATAACGCCCCCAATTAATTAATATACCCTTGTAACCAACACAGAAACCTGAGGTATTTCATCACAAAAGTGTTCTTACAACTACATTTGTTGATCATAGCAAGTGCACAAGTATTGTCAGTTTTTACTATGACCTTTTTGTTTGTCCATGCACAGTACTAGCAGGACGCTGCAAGCACAATTGCAAGGCACTCTTTAACATTAATATGCATTTGTTCAACTTGAGGCATATCACATAGGAAAAGTCACCACTGAAGTAACCACCATTAGATGAAGCATCTGTTTGCACAGTCCGAACGGGCTTGCTGTCCACAAATTTCTTTGATCCGTTAAAAGTTTTCTAAATCCAATCTGAAGGAGTCACTAAGTAACACCTTATCACTTCCTGATTTTAAGGTGTTCTTGAGGTCAATCATTCTCCTAAGAAAAGTTCTACCTCCCTGTATCACAGAGGCTGACCAGTTCAAATTTCCTATCAGGCTCTCTATCGGCCTTTTACTTGCTCTCTTCTTTGCAGCGAAGGCAGCTATTTCCTGTTCAAGGTATTTATCAAAACACCAAGAAAAACAAGCTTCTGTTTTGGCCCTTCAACCTTGTTCCAATTTATACGAAAACCTAACCATCTCAATACTTCAATAAGTTTTGCCAAGGCTTGGCCACATTCACTAGCAGTATCTGAAATAATGAAAAAATCATCCAAATATGCTATAACTCTGTACCCATTCCTCAGTTTCATTATTCTTCATATTGCAGCACTTAAACACTGGAAAGTTTTGGGGGACTTAGAAGCACCAAATGGAAGTTTTGAATCAAACGTACGTAGGTTTGCTTTCCCCTTTAAAATGCCAACACAACCCTGTTAGTGGGTAATTAATAGTGTGAATAGGTACAGATCTATATGCATTTTTAGGTCTATTTGGCAAGAAAACTACCATGTTTGATATGTTTAACTGCCTCACGGATATCCATATATTCACATTCAGTATTACATATAGCTGTTCATACTGTTGGTACTGGGAAGACTTCCATCAAGAGGAAGTCTGACTTTTGTTTCAGACTTAAGAACTGCAGGTTTTGAGTCACAAATAACATAGTTTCCAAGTTCAATCTCCTCCCTTATTTGTAATTCTGTTAGGTCTCTATGAAGATGGGCCGATCTATGATTAGCTGTACACATCATGAATGTTTACACCAGAGAGGTCTGCAAGATTAAACCCCTCTCTTACACCACACAAAGTAAAGTCCCTATCCTTGTTATCGGGAGGAAGTACACTTTTCGATGCTTCCTAGTTCAGTGTGTTGCTCCCTAGTGAAAGTTTTTTACATGTTATTCTCCTGTATGGGTCTGGCATGATGAGGGACTGGACTGGTGTGTTGCTGCATGCTGTGTCCCCTCTTCCCACACATGGTAAATGCGTGTACTAGTCTACACTGATCTTCCTTACAGTTGCCATAATTGTATCTTCTACAGATATCTGCTCCATCAGCTGTGAATGGACACCCTGGTCTAGATGCACCCCTATTGGTGCTACTAGTCTGGATATGACTGCTCTCCATCTGTTTCAGCATCTTAGTGGTACTAGTGTTTGGCTTTGCAATTAGCGGAAATTCTTTCACTTCCTGCAACGGGGGCCCCCCACCTAAGCTGCTCTCTTTGATGAATTGTTCTTTATTCCTGGTCGTACAGAATAACGCTAGGACAAATGTATTTGGATGAAAGTCTACACACATTTCGAATGTATCGTATGTAGTCATGAACCTCTTCAATACCAGCCTCTTTCAAATCAATCATTTCCTGTAGTATACCCAGACTTGCATATGACCACATTTCCAAAGTAACCTTGCCAAGTTTACTTTTGGGTTTGTTCAAATCAATTGTTGTTCAATAGAATTTGACTCACTGTCCAAGGAATCGGTATCTATCCAAAGATAATCACATATGTTTCGTTTCTTAGGCACTTTACCTCGGCTTTGAGTGGGTGTTTTCTGGCCATCCAACGACGAGTCTTCGTTGCGTTGACCTTTTGGTGTCCGCCATTTTGTCGTTGAGAGCTGTTGACCTCTGCGGCGTCTTCCGTAGCATGTGCTCTTTCCATCTTCTTTTTTCAGCCTCCCTACCTCCGCCTTAAACTCGTTCAGTCTGTCCTGAAGTTTAAGCTTCATAATTTCAGTCTCTAATTCCACACACTCCGATTTAAGATCCGAAATGGCAGTCACCTCGGATGCTCTGTGTGATGGCGACTGTTGCAATCTCGCGTCGGCCTTGTCACGGTTCAACAGCGGTGAAGATTGTAGGGTGGAAACATCAGACGCTCCCTTGAGTGCACCCAAAATATCCGGCATCTTTGCCCCCGCACATTTACGTATGGTTTTGGCATCTGCTTCTGCCATTTTTCTTGCAAAGGCGTAATTGTAATCTCACAAATTGCGTGCGTGTTCTAGCGTCGACATGAATTCCTACGTACAGCGTCCCCTAAAACAGGGGAGATAATTCAAAATGCTTTATATTTTTACAAATAAGAAAGGAGAGACAGCGGTCTAGGGGAGACAACTATTGCATAACTCTAAAACTCATTTTAACAAGTTACAATCTCACTTCTAATTCAAAGTGGGGATGGGATCAAGCTACCCTCTTACATGTACTTACACCGATCATTGGTCCACTCTAAACCATCGGATATGGTGGAGCCTGCAAAAGCAACCTAACACTATTATAGATTCTGTCCACTGCCAAGGTCTCTTACTGTCGTGGGTCCTTCAGAACTTCTGTTGAGAGTCTCTACGTCGAGGGCGATTACGGGGTAGCCTAGTGGTTAAAGCGTTCGCTCGTCACGCCGAAGACCCGGGTTCGTTTCCCCACATGGGCACATTGTGTGAAGCCCATTTCTGGTGTCCCCGCCGTGATATTGCTGGAATATTGCTCAAAGCGGCGTTAAACTAAACTCACTCACTCACTTAATCGTAGAATATGTGTTCCTCTAATGTTTGGCTAAACTGGAATACAATCGCCAACGACTGGAGGGATGATGTAACTCCAGATGGATCCACGCAGGTAGCAAAAGCAATGTAGTATGGTATGGTGATCTACCATCAGTTGTTGGCGATCTATAGCCAGTGTTTATATTGTAAGGTATCAATAGTAAGAAAGTTTTAGATTTATGATCTAGTTATATAACAAAATCTGTGATCATCTTCTGGTTTTCACTGCCCTTCGTTTTTAGACAGGTTTTTAGAATTAACATGTATTTAGAACTTCTTGTAGTCACGATATGGCAGAAATATTGCCGGTGTGACTGTAAATATTAACCCATTCCCTCACTGAAGCCACTAAACGTCCATAAATGTACTGGGAAAGATTATTCCATATCGGAGGAAGGAATTGGAGAAGTTCCTGCAGCTCTGTTGTTTGCCATTTGCAACATTGTATCTGGTTACCTCGCTAAATTCACGTTCCCCTCAATCGCATTGGCGTCCTTGCTGCAGCTGTAAACCCGACCCTTAACTTAAAGCCATCACCCACAACCACCAACCCACCCATCTACCCTCCAAAACGATTCCCTTCCAGAACATATGGCCTGATGAAACATTCATCTGTCACCTGCCGTCATCTCATCTGTCACCTGCCGGCATCTCATCTGTCACCTGCCGGCATCTCATC